GCTGAGTCATGATTTAAAGAAAAGGATGAACAGCATGAAAATCTAAGTAGAAACCTGAGAAGCTCCAGGATCTAAAGCTCTTTGCTCAGAGCTTTAAATCTCAGCTTTCTTTCATCATATTTGCATCAAATAAAAGATTAGAAAAATACCCCCCCCCCCTCCTGTTTTCCTAAAGTCTGCTCCTGCTTCAGCATAAAGGAGGTTTTCTTTCAGCCTCTATAGGCAGCTTGTTTACAGAAGGGGGGGGCCATCATGCGCTCTCTGCTTTAGTTTGTTTTTCTTTATTCTAAGTTTGATCCAATGTGGAAACAGAACAAGCTGCAGATGCAGGTTATGGTGGGAATGGAAACTGGTCACATGCTTCTCTGCAGCTGTTTGGCTGCTTCCAGAGTTTCAAAGAAGTCCAACTTTAAACTAAAGAGGAATGAAAGTTATTCATGCAACTAAAGAAAGTGCAGATATTGGAGCTGCTGCATATTTAGGGGCCTCCTACCGATGCATACTGTCCCGCTCTGCGCTCCCAAAGCTTCGCTGCTTGTTTGTCCTCCGCTGCTGCTGCTGCTGCTGATGATGATGATGATCCAATGCTGCAGCCACAAGAGGAACCGCCTCCTGTTGGGGCAGGTATATCTATATCTATAGATCTGGGTCCTATAGGGATGGGGCAGGTATATCTATATCTATAGATCTGGGTTCTATAGGGATGGGCGTTTTTTGCAGCGGTTTCCCAGCAGCGCCATCTCTGAAAGGCGAAACGCGCTTTTTGGCGCTGCGCTGTTAAACATGGGAGGGAACTAGATCACATGCTCTGCTGGGGCCCCCAGCTGCCGGGGGGCCCAGCTGCCGGGGGGGCCCACCGAAAGGGCTTGGATGAAAAACAAAGGATCAGAACATAGAAAAACAGATTTAAGCTAAAAAAAAAAACCTGACAAAATAATTTCAAATATTCATAAACTTGATTTATTTTTTCCTCATCTTGTAATTTTAGATTCATGGATATAAAACCTTATTTTATAGAAACAAATAAACAAAAATAATTATTTAAGAATTAATTATTTGGATTATCCAGCTAATCTAAAACAGGAAGGGATATATCTATGGAAAAAAGTGATCTTTTTATTTAGATCTATGTTTATATGAAGGTTTGATGCATCAAATATAGAGCTGAGCGATTGATTGATTGATTGATTGATTGATTGATTGATTGATCAAATTATTTTGTTTATTAGGATTAATTATTTGTAAAAATCTGGATGTTTCCATCATCAGTTGATCAGTTTTTGTTGATAGATGTGACTTTCTATCTGATAAACTAGCTCTATGTGTGAAACCTGCCAACAGTTGGTTGGATGTATTTTCATTGTTTTTGTGAAACATGATTATTTTCCAAACCTGTTTAAATAAAGAAGCAAAGCTAGTTTTTATAAATAATATATGTCATTTTTATTTATTAATTTCTTTACCAAACTTAAGGTAATTTGGTCAGAGACTAGATTTTAAATTTCAGCCCAACCTTAAAATCCAGCTGGATTAAACAGATTATTTCATTATTTGGTTCAGATTAAAAAAAGTTTAGATATAAAAAACACTGAATGTTGGAAACTGTAAACATTTGATCACTGCTGAACTTTAGAAATGGAAATATCCTTAAAGCTGCTCTTTTTGCTTTGTTTACACTCTGTCTATAAATGACAATAAATTCTGTCTCAGGATATGATTCATTCTTAACTGTCTCAACTTTATTCAGTTTGCTTTTATTTTGTTCCATTTATATTTCGATGATGAAACCAGTTAAGACTTTGTCCTGGTTTAACTGTGGAACGAAAACATTGAACTTTGTAGATTTTTGTGGAACAAACTGTGGAAAGATATTCTGGAACCTATTGGTGTGACATGCAGCTCTGCTCATTAGTTTCTTTTCCTTTCATCATTTTGTGTCTGACTCAGTTGTTTTTGAACTTCCTGTTTTATTTTGGTTCACTAATTTCTGTTCCCATTTCCGGCTGTTTCACTTCCTGTGATTCCCCTTCAATCAGCCTTCCTGATCCTCACCTGTGTCTCCTTTCCTCACCTGTTTAAACCTCTTCCTCTGTTCGTCTTTGTCTCTAACCTCCCAGCCTTTATTCTACCTTGCCTAGCAGTTAAGCTAGTTGCTCTCCTTGTTTTTTTAGATTTGTACCAGTTGCTCCACCCATTGTGCATTAGCACATTAAATTCCTTTTTGTCTTCATTTCCCTGAGTTGAGTCCTGCATTTGAGTCCTCTTTGGTCGCCTCTGACAGTTGGCGCTCGATAAGCGGCTTTTTTCAAGCTATGCACTGAAGGAAGAAATTAAAGTTTTTGTTGTTCCCTTTCCAGATATTAAAACCTTTTCAAAATGCAACCTTTAATTTCTTTAAAAGCTGATGAGGCGGCTGCAGTCGATCAGGATGCTGCTGCCAGTGTCCTCACTAACCTTATAAAACCCTCGATAACTAACCCACAAATACGTTGCACCCTTACTGCCAGTGAACTCTCAGGACTTCTTGCTCAAATTTCCTCTGCATACCCAGAACCAAACGCAGCTTTAGTTCTGATGAGCTGAGCTGCTTTCTAGAATATTTTCCTTAAACTTTTAACTGAAACATCAGCAGCTTCAGTTCAGGGTCTTTTTCTGCGTCTGCAAAGTGTTTGAATCGTTTTGGTATTGAAAGGTGTCGTGCAAATAAACCTTGCCTGTTATATAAATAGTCCGACAATCTAAATGCATTTTACATTAATGTGCAGCATTTCAGGAAAGCCAGCTTCCTCCTCACATTTAGTAAATATTTGAATATCTTTTTATGGAATCTCATTTTCTTCCTTGTCCACAGATTTAAGCTCTAAAACAAAATATCATTGCTGTGCATCAGTTTGGAGATTAACTCACCTTTACGCTGCTTTACAAGACGGTAACTGATTTTAAGTGTCATCAGTCTCCAACTAAAAATTAGCTTCTTAATTTCAGACTATATATTTTAGGAGCTCCTGTTTGCTGAAGACGTGTTTGGACCTTAGAAGGTGTTTTTTTTCTGTTGCCTTCACAGAGCTGCAGAAACGGCTCCTGAAAAGAGCAGGAGGAAGTTTGCAGCCCCTCCCTCTGTAGGGTTATGATTATCCTCAAACATCTGGGAGCATTTCTCTCTCTGACCGCACAAGAAAAATAGAAAGCTAGAAGTCCTGGGCTATGATTTACGTAGATATAAATAAAGCAGAAGCTTGTAATGTAAAGGAAGTCACCAGGAGCACAGAAGGTGGAAATGATGAGAGGAGGAGGTTTCAGGGCCTCCTATAGATTAGCTCTGACGTCTGCATTGCTAATCAGCTTAGCAGGAAGTTACATTAACTTAGATCTTTATCATTATACCTCAAAGCACTGAATTAATTAAGTCATCTAACAAAAACTTTTCATAATGTTGCATCTTTATTAAATGACCTCACAAAATTAAAACATTATTATTCGAATCTATGATATTAAACGTGTAATTTTGGGTTTTATTTAGTTTCCTGTTTTATGGAAATAAAAGTAAACTCTGGGTCAGATGGGATCTGATCTGACAACAAGCAACAAGTAGAAGAAGAAAAGTCTTAGAAATAATCAATCATTAAACTGAGAGCAGGTGGAGCAGCGTCCTGCTCCACCGTCGGCCGCCATGTTGGCTCCTCTGCAGTGGCGGCGCCGCCTTACATCTAAACGGCACGTTTAACACGGGTTCCAGAATTAGAAGTTGTGTATATAGATGTTAGTGGACCAAACACACAGCTGGAAGCAGACCCACCCCACAGTCAGGCCACTGAAAACCCCAAATCATCCCGTTATAGAAGCAGCAGCCAGAACCACAGGAGGCGTCAGAGGGAAGCAGCTGCTGTTAGAAAAATAAAATCTCTTTCTCTTCTTTTACTGATTCACCATTTTACTACAGAGTTGGATTCATTTATTTCAAAGGACGACAAAAAAGGAGTTACAAAAGAAAAATACTTTAAACACAAAAACGTGATAAAATACAGTAAAAAGAAGAGATTTATAAAGTTATGTTAGAAATGCTGAAATACATCTAATATTATTAATTGGCTTCTCATCATTTTAGCCTTTAAACACTTTGGCTATTTTTTATTCCTGTTCTTCCAAACCTGATTTCCAACAACCAATCAAATTCCAGGTAACATAAATACAATAAATACCAAAATCAAGCGGACTTCACACCTGTGTTCATGTCAGGATTTAAAGTTAGACTGAGGAATTAGTTTAGGTTTTGTTTGGTCATAATAATCCCCCCCCTTGTGCAGCAGATAGATGTGATTTTGCAGAGATGTTGAGGCAAAGTTAACTAGCAGGATTCTAACTCACTCCTCTGACCAACATAGAAAGTGACTCTAGAATATTGATCAACTCTAAAATGCTGTTTTAATGCACATTTACACCTTAAAGGTTAGTGGCTGCTTTCTTAGCCGAGTCTGCCTCACCTGCTATGAGATCTACAAAGCGTACATCTATAGTGAACCAATAAGAGCTTCTTATGCCTGCAAAGGTAAGACGTAAGCAGCCGAGCTGAAGCGATAAGAAGCGTCCTGAGCTCAGTGAAATTTACCTGGAAAGCTTCGTCTCTCAGGAATCCATATTTTCATCCATCTGTTTCGCTGAAGCAGCCATAAATGGTCATCAGCTACTAGCTGTTAGCTTAGATGAAGATCATTTTATTTTTTTATCAAACTCACTGTGACGTCACTTCCTTTATTACAGGTTTTTATAATTCAAACATTCTTACTTCCAATAAATTCAATCTTTCCCTTTAATGTTTCTATTTATTCCTTCATTTCTGCCTTTGGTTCACAGCGTAAAGCATCAACAGGTTTTAAGGTTTCGCCTTTTTTTGCGAATCATTTTAGGAACAACTCGGATGTTTTTGCTGAATTAGTGTTGAAGGCTTGTTGTCGTCTTTGCTTTGGCAGAGAGATCCTAAAATAAATAATCAGCGTCACAATAATTCAGAATCTGAGCAGAAGTTTTAACATCTCTGCACAGAACAAATCTTTTCTATCATGTCTGTCGTCATCATCATCTGCATCCAGCGGGGGGGTCTGGCCCTCCTCTACCAGCTGAACAGCTTCAGGAAGTTTTGGAAGCCGTCTTCTCCCAGGAAATCATAGGAACCCTGAGAAGAGCCGAGGTGGACCAGCAGGAGGACGATGAGGACGACGGCCAGCAGAGGAATCAGCAGGTTCCAACCGGCTGCCAGGATGTTGTACCATTTGGCTTTATCTGAGCACTCCTGGGCCAGCTGCAGGTTTCCCAGCGTCTTCTGGTCCCGAGCCTGCAGAAATCACAACATGTTCACTATTAGCTTAAAAACACGTTTTCAGTTTTCAGCTTTTTGCTGCATTACAACAATAAACATGAATGTAAACCTTGAGATTATCTGTAACAGAAACTAATTCATAACGGTGAAGATAGTTTTTCTGATGTCTTCCTTGGATCAGCGGCTCCTCAGTGGGCCTAAAGCATTCCAGTGCAGCTCCAAGGATTATTTATGTGGTTGTCCAGCAGGAAGGTCAACCTCCGCCCCTCGTTTCAAACCTCTCTCAGGTTTCCTCTTAGCTCATTCATTCTGCTGCAACCAGACTCTACAATCACTCACTGCAACCGCAATAACATGTGCAACGGATAATGTGCAATTAATATTTAATAACCTGTTTCTCTATATTTGATACCCAGTGCAATAACTATAAATATCCATCTATATAAATAAACACCCAGTGCAATAACCAGGTATAATAAACCTGCTATAAAGGGGAATGCACTGTATATACTGTATATATCCCATCATGCACCTTTTCCCTCCTTTGGCTTCTTCTTCTATTTGAGTTGCTGGAACGAGTCATTTTTCTGCTGTGAAATAATAAAATCAATCAATCAATAAGTTATAAAGCTTTTATCTTCACCCCCCCCCCCCTGCATCCCAGCGGTATAAAAACCTCCACCTACATATCTAAAGAAGGCATTAATGTGTTAATGCTCACCACTAACTCACTACTTTACACTATTCATGAAAAGTTTCACACAGCAGAGCTCCTCCTTCCAAATGTTTGTTCCAACATGGAGCAGGAATGTGTTTCCAGTATTAGATGAAGGTCGGCTTTATTCTCACTGGGATTAAACCAGCAGTGACTGATGAAGTGGATCCATCCGTTTCCTTCCTCTTTCTCCGCGGCCGCATCGTGGAGGCGGCGGTCGAAGCAGAGAAGTCCAGACTTCCCTCCCTGAGGCGACACCAGACCAGAGACATCCTCCCTCCAGCGTGTCCTGGTCCTTCCACCAGGCCTCCTCCCAGTGGGACGTGCCTGGAACACCTCCTGATGGAGGCGACCAGGAGGCCTCCTCAGCTGGCTCCTTTCCACATGGAGGAGCAGCGACTCCACTCCCAGCTCCTCCCGGGTAAACGAGCTCCTCACCCCATCTGGTTAATTAAGTGGATTTTTAAAAATATCTGGTTGTTGGATTTTTGACCAGAATTTCCTCATTGTGGACAATAAAGGGATTTTCTATTGATTTCTATTCTATTTTATTTTGAGGAAAGTGATTAAATGTATAACTTGGAGGAAAATGATTTGTAGTCTTTATAATTTTTGCTTATCTCTAAGGTCAGTCAATAATCCAGGTGAGCTACAGTGAAATCTTCCCTTAGCTCTCTACTTTTATATCTAAAAGAAAAATATTACAGGACATTTCAACGTTTTTCTTGTCTTATGCTCTTTTGTACTATATACACTCTCTGTCTGTTGTATTTCTATCTTCAATGGCATCCTGCTTTGTGCTCTATAGAAGCTACTGGAACCAGAATTTCAGCGAAGGACTAATCCCCAGGGATTAATAAAGCTGAGTCTAAGTCTAAAGATGTCCAATAAAAATGCAGAGGAGTTTAAAGATTTTTATTTGTCAGATGGTTTTAAAACCCTTAAAGGTTTTCCTTTATCCAACATGCACTACTTAGAGTTGGGATATTGCTGTGGATGTGGTCCCAATAAGAACAAATGTAACAGAGAGGAATCACATTAAGCTTTATAAATCTGTCTTCAGGCTTTAAGAAGAGAACGCAGTCAAGTATAGCGTTACTCCATCCCTCTGCAAGCGCTCTCTAATTTCTCATCAGTACTCGCCCATTAAGAAGATGCCAATTATACCGTTTTAACTCCCCGCTTTGAGTCACAGCCTTTAATTGATGCGCTGAGCCAAAGGCAGCCTGAGGTTCAAAGCTATGCAGACATGAACCAAACAGCCAATGGCTCGTTTTGCACACGGCACGCTTCTTTACAGAAACATTGTTTTATTGAGGAACTGCTCTGAAGGTGCTTTATGGTTGTTGGTAAAACATCAGCCGGACTGAGTCACCAATCCGTTGGAATTCCTAGTGGATTTGGAGCATTTGGATTTGGAGCATTTGGATTTGGAGCATTTGGATTTGGAGCGTCCCAAAGCATCGCCGCTCCATGAAGGCATTCCATTGCATTGTGTGAGAATCCATAAAGGTTTTATTTTTAACTGGTAAGAGCCTTCTCATTCACAAAAACAAAATGGCGCCTGTGGTCAGCAAAGAAAAGATGGCCACATCCTGCTGGTCTGGATTATTTTTATAACTTTGTACAGGATTTATTTTTCAGCCTCGCATTTAAAATAAAATACATCAATTTCTCTACATCAAACTCAAAGACATCTGAGAATAAAACTAGAACTTTAACCCTAATTTGAAATGTTGCAAATGTCCAAATTTGGTCCATTTTATAACATTTTAAGCTTTAATCTCCTTTGTGAATAAATTTTAGCTCGGATCACAAGTCAAAGGATTTAGAAAACGTTTGCAAAGCTAAACATGACTGGACTGAATAAAACACTTTCCACAACTACTGAGGATTAAACTGGTATTTTTTTCACACCAGATTCTGTTTTAATCTCTTCTAAGTTGTTACAGAGTCAGACTTCCAAGGCAGACAGAAGTAGGATAAAACCACAGGCTCACCTTGATGGAGTAGATGAGAGCCATGAAGCCCAAACAGCAGAAGTTGACATAGAAGGTGTTGCAGAGGGACCAGAGCAGATAATCCCGGGGGGGATTCTTCCCCACGCTGCCCATGTTGACCACGGTGGATCCGGCCGGCTTACGGGCCGACTTGCAGTTAGTGAGGGGGGTGCAGTCAGATGGGAAGTTGTAGGAATGGTTATCCATGATAAATGTACGGTTGATCTTAAGGTCTGCTCCCTCTGGATGGTGAGTCTCTCTTGTGAAAGTGCCCCCCCCCCCCTGCTTGGGAGGCTTTTAAAGGCCCTTGGAAAGGGAGGTGACTGGAGAGGAGGCCTGGGCAGGGTCCTTTAATACACAGCAGGTCTGTCATTATGTGGCCAGGCCTAAAAGAGACTGAAATAGAGAGAAGAAAGAAGAGAACATTTTCTCTGAGAACGGGCATCAGACAGTCCCGAACTTCAGCTTCTTCGTCTTTTTCCGAGCAGCTGTGTCTAGAAATAGAGTGGGTGTAAAAAAAGATGAGACCCAGCAGCTGGAAACCCAAAAATTATCGATATTTTCACCGTCTCCAATCTGTATGAATTGGGTCAGTTTTCTGGGAATCCACAAGCTTTTTAATTCGATGTGTTGGAATTTCGTCCCATTTCTCCAGAAGAACTGATGTAAAGGGGTCGTTTTATTGGCCGCTTTGTTCAACATTTAGGTCCTCAAATCTTCCAAAAGAACTTTGACTCCAAAATACGGAGTAGTTCATCCGTACGGTGCTTTGAAACTCATCTGGAGGTTTGCTTACGGTCCCGGTCCAGACCTTTACTTCCTGGCTGCTGTCTTGAGGAAATGCTTCAATGTTTACTGAACCTTAACTCACCAAAAACATTAAGTTTTTCTTTTATTACAGAGAAATACGGTATAATAACAGCAAAGATAGATCAGAGGTCGTTCTACAGCACAGAGAGAGGAGGCTGCCTCAGTCTCTGCTTTACTCCTAAAGAACAGAAAACAGGTCTGATAAATCCAACCGGGACTGAAAACCTGTTAAAGCTTAAACAAAAAGCTTCTTATAGTAGGAAGGAATTCCCAGATTAAAACCAGCTACAGAGTCTCACTGGAAAAACCTGAAATGCTGTTTGTTTTCTACATTTATAACTTTTAATAGGGACAGAATCTCTCCTGCCCTCCTTTGATTTATTGTTGCTATAAAATCTGCTAAATAAGTTAAAACAAGGAAGTTTGAAAGAAGTGTGAGTTATGACACTGCCGGCCTGAGTTCTAGTCCAAACCAAGTCAAAGGTCATTTTTTTATTGTCAACATGCTCGTCTTAAAAGCTCCTTTTTCACTTCAGTCGTTTCATCATCGATGCTCTGATGATGCATGCATCAGAAACTCCTTTCATCAAGCTAAGGTTAAAAATTAGGCAAAAACTCATTGAGTAACATTTTCACAATCGTACGGATTAAACTAAATTTAAGATTCTATTTTTAAAGTCATTAACAAGCCTATGGCAGGACAAACAGCCATGCACACAAGCAAAGACAGTTTAAAGACTTAACAGTCATCTTCTTTGACTGTATGTTGAATTACCTGCAGAGAGATAAAGATGGCCGCTCACACTGAGCCTGGTTCTGCTGGAGGTTTCTTCCTGTTCAAAGGGAGTTTTTCCTCTCCACTGTCGCTACAAGCATGCTTAGTGTGAGGGATTGCTGAAGAGTCAATGAGTCGATGCAATCAGCTGGTTTTCCTTAGATAGAAAACTTTGAATCAATCTGACTGGATGATCTGGTGAACTGGAAAGTGACCTGAGATGACATGATGTGAATTGGAGCTATAGAAATAAACTGAATAGAATTATTGAAAAGGATCATTTTAATAATAATAGCAGCAAATCAGGTGATCTCGTCTGTGAGTAAAACAATATCTTCCTGCTGGTTAAAGCTTGATTCTCTCTCAAAACCAGAAAGTTGTGGAAGAAAACAGAAAAATGCAATTTAAATAATTCAAAGAGTGAAAAAAATGGCAGAGACTCAAAGATGAAAACAGGAAAATACTTCCTGATGTCATACTGACAAAAGGTGAAGAGGATAGGTACTTAAAAAGATGAACCAGAAGTAAGTGGTTAGCACCTTGGTTCCAGACCAACCAATCATGGTCAACCTTCTATTATCAACTGAGGCTCATTTACTATTTACATTTTCTATTTAGGAACTTTTCTTCAAGCCTGATTTATCTAATATTAGAAAATCTAACTCTTGCTTTAAATTCGGTCCTGACCCACAGTAATAATACTTTTGTAAACTTGCAATGTTCTTTTCCAGGCTACTAGAATGCTGTTTTTTATTAAAGCATTTAGACCCAATGAGGCTCAGCAGCCTTCCTATTCTTCTGGTTTACAGGGCCTCTTCAGTGGGGAGAATTCATTGGTTATTGGTGCAACTAATGGATCCGTGAAAAATAGGTATAAAATTAGCTGGAAATTTCTTGGCTTTCAAATTAATTTTAAGAAAGCAGCATTTGATTAATGGTGTCTTGATTGTTGGAATTGAAGCCTCCTTAACAAAGTGAAGAGCCAGCAGGTGGCGCTGTGCCCTTTCTTTTCTGAGGAGACTGATTTCTTACAGACATAAACAGGGAACTGAGGAAGAAATATTCCTCCTTCGTTTTTAACCCTAAAACTTTTCCACAGTCAGATTCATTAAATGATCAGAGTAACAACATTAATTATATCTACATCTAATCCAAACTGCATTCTCAATAAACACTACTGAGTAAAAAGTTCATGTTTGTTTTTCAAAGAAAAAGAATAGAAGCAAAAGATATGTTCTAAAAGGCTGAGGGGCGTTTCAGTTACATAAAAAATAGAAAAATATGTCGCTATTAATAATTTGGGGCAACGGGATGAAATAGAAAAGTCAGGGGAAAGTTGGACATCAAATAAAATTTAAAGCCAAAATTACCTGCTAGCAGAGGATGGTTTCGATCCATCGACCTCTGGGTTATGGGCCCAGCACGCTTCCGCTGCGCCACTCTGCTGCGGCGGAATGACGTCACATACCAGAGTATTAACAGGCCCCTCAGTTTCATCCAACGGGAGTGAGATTCATCTATCTCAGTGTCGTCACACTCTCTCACTCCTTATTCCCAATTTCTCACGCTAAAATATGACAAATATTAAAGTTCAACTCCGATCCACTTATTTATGTATAAAAATCCCACTGTGATCTAAATCCAGTCCGTGTTTTTAATTCAACCTGACACAGGATTCCAGGTTCAGATCCAGTCCGTATTCCCACCTATTCACTGTGGCAGATATTGTTTAAAGACAGTTATTAGGAGGTATTCATTTAAATTTTTATGTGATTATTCTCTATATTAATTATTGAAGAATTTAAGCAAACTAGTACTTTAGTAAATATGAATAAAAATAGAGCATGTAGTTTAAATTGTTGCTGTGGAGTCTGAGGGCAGGATCACATCCAATGGTTTGGTTTCTCTTTACCTGCTGCTTGTTTTAGTCCCAGCTTTTTTTTATGTATAAAAACCTTTTTGAATGAATCAATGAATAAATAGATTAAAGCAATGTGTAAACTGTCTTTATTTGACCTGATCAGCGTATCGGCGGCGGCCTCACCTCCTCCTCCCTTCATAAAGTCCAGCTTGATGTGATCAACAGCTCCTGACCTGAGCTTCCATCACCTCCACCCGCTCTCCACCTTCGCTCAGCAGACATTTCATCTATGTTTTTATTATAACTTTATAACCCAATAATATGCTTCTGTATATTCTTGCTTTATTACAAAAAACAATAGTTGATTCTGAAAAATAAAATAGTATTTACACATATAAAGTATTGCTAGTTATTAACTTTGCTTGTATTTAAAATCTTTAAAACAAGGTTTTCCAATTGTTAAACAACCCTGTTGCGATATATTTACAGCTTCTTTATTGGTCGACTCTCTCTTCAACATATTACAGCCACAATATAACTTTGTCTGGAAACAACATTATTTCTATGAAAATTAAATAATGTAGATTAACTGAGCTACAACTGAAGGAAAATTAAAAAATGTGCATAATTTTGAAGCAACATTATGAAAAAGAATGACTGCACAAGTCAAAAGGCAAATGTTGTGTCTGTCCCACTGTAAAAAAAAGAAAGAAAGAAAGAAATCGGCGTATTATTGGATAGTATGGAAGCCCGTTTCCGCCACTCTGTAAAAAAAGAAAAAAATGATCTCATTATAATGAGATAATTTTTTTTTTTTTTTTTTACAGAGTGGCGGAAATGGGCTTCCATAGAATAGCGCCTCCTGCTGATTTTTTAAAAGTTCTTCTTTTCTTCAAACACTGAAGCATAAGTTGTGAACCAGGATGTTGAGAGTAGCTTCAGACAGAAGTCCTTCTGAGTCTGTGGCGCGTAATGATTGAAAAAAAAAGGCGAAACCTCGCTATGCAGACTCTGCATTCACATTATATCCATCAAGCTCACATTCTCATCTGGGACCAGCTGTTTTTAATCACATGTAAAGGTTTTGATGGACCATAAAATGATTTTTTAACAGCAAAAACATGTTTTGGCATCCACACATTGACTTCTTATAGGTGTAACTGTACTTCTAATTCAAATACATCTGTTGCAAACCTGAATACAGTCAATTTGTAATCAATGCTGTAGAGTATTTGTGATTATCTCAACATAAACTTGCATTCCAAACCTTTGAATGTCATGGTTTTCTTTATAGCAAAACTATTTTGTAACATTATAATGCATTACGTTCTGGTTCAGATACATGCTAAAAAAAACGCTTACCATAATATGGAGCATTTAATATAGTGAATTGTTTGCTGAGCACATTATGAGACTTAGACGCAGCATGAGGAAGAATATCTCATCACATTTAGCAGAGACAGGTCAGGACTGAAAGAGAACAGGCTGATCAGTTCATGCAATTAGAATTAAATGACACTGAGATTTAGATAATTTAATAACATTAAAGTAAGATTTTGTCGTTTCTTTCCTTTTCTCTGTTTATCTTGAAAGAAAAAACTTGTTTCCACCTTTGTTGGACAGACCTCACACTGAAATTCTGTGTAGACTTTAGACCAATAAGATGAAAAAATTCATGATTTCTGTCTCCGATACGTAACCCAGGTTGTCACGCTGGTTCTTAATACATTTCTGACAGTCTATTACTGAATAAAAACAGGGTTTATAACATGGCAAAGCATCTTAAATGTGATTTTATGTGATCTAGGTGCATAAACTGTCAAATAAATTAT